CAGAGAATCAGATAATCAGAGAATCGTAGAATAGTTAGGGTTGGAAAGGACCTTAAGATCATCAAGTTCCAACCCCCCTGCCATGGGCAGAGACACCTCGCTCTAAACCATATTACCCAAGACCTCATCCAACCTAGCCTTGAACACTGCCAGGGATGAAGCATTCACAGCCTCCCTGGACAACCCATTCCAGTGCCTCCCTACCCTAACAGGAAAGAATTTCCTCCTTATATCCAATCTAAACTTCCCCTGTTTAAGTTTTAACCCATTTCCCCTTGTCCTACCACTACAGTCCCTAATGAAGAGTCCATCCCCAGCATCCCTATATGCCCCCAGTTTAGGTTGTACATTTATCTGTATTAAAGTCACTTCAGTGAAAGGTGTGGGTTTATGCTGCAGTTTAACTGTTTTAAGGGTACCTTGCTGCCCAAAGGGACAGTCATGCCTTCTCCCTGCTTGCTGACCTGAGAGGTAATCCTGTAGACAAACAGAAACCACAGAAGGTTAAAATGTTCCACCGGATCAGAGAAAGAAGCAGCAGGAACATGCATGGGGTTTTTGGGAGAAGCTGCGGTGAGTGATGTTGTGTCTTTCAGGGTCAGTGTGCCCTTGTCCAACCCAAGAGAACTGAGTAACTCTAGCAGAGTTTGTAGTTCTGTTTGTAAGAGCTGATTCTAAGTGATGCTCTGTTTCTGTACACAGTGCAGTGATTGCTCGGTGGCTCACCGTGTGTTTTTTAAAGTCCTGAGCTAGTTTACTGTTTAGATTTTTGGAATCAAACCAAGGGAGCCCGGAGGTGGCTCCTATTTCCATGTTCATTTCAAGCTGAGTTTGCTGTTACCAAAAGGAATGCACGTGACACTGCTTTGGATGTGCTTGGTTCAAAGTAATGTCTGGAACAAGCAGGTAGTTTGGCCCCGTCTTATGTAAGAGAGCTGGCAGGTCACAGAACAGCCAAGTCTGAGTGCAGAGCCAAGTGTTGGCTGAACAGAGCCAACTGTTAGGACTGGGCAGGAACAAAACACTGGGAAAAGCCGTTAGCATCACAGTAGCAGAACACAGGTATCATCTGTAAGAGTGTTCTCAAATCCATCCCGCTCAGCTTTAGATTTCTGGTGATAGATCTTGCAAAATGGGAGATATCCATGATTTAGAGGTGACATCAGAGAAGTACATAGGTGGCAGTGCTATTTGTGTGATATATGTAAGTGATGCAGTTTGGTTTGGAGTGAGATGAAACGGCAGAGCTCTCAATCTGATCTGATTCTTTCTGACACTCTCCTGTGCAGATTAGGTTGATGTTACATTCATAAATACATGCACTGATTAAGCTGCATTTGTTCACAAGTTCTGGATGCTGAGCTTAAAAATTCAAGCATTAACCAGTGGCTTAGAAGTCACACGTTGACAGTGTGGTGAATCTGAGAATGACCGAGCTGGACACATTGGCCTGATGACCAGTCAGCAGTTCCCTGCCAGGCACTGAGTGTGACATGAATATTGATGTACTGTCCTGATCATGCTTCTGATGGATTATTGCTAATACTGGGTTTAAATCTGCAAATAGAGATCATGTAGCACTTAGGAGCGAGCTGTGGGTCTTCCCGTGCAGCACCATAGCCCTGCGGCACTTAGGGCATTCCCCTTACTTGTGACAGAAGTAGCAATGCCTAAAGGAAGGAATTTTTGTGTCTTTCTCACTTGACAGGGACGTGATTGTTGTAAGTGGGCTCCAACACTCAGTAAACCCTCTCTTAAATCCCTGACATGCGACTCCAGGCTGCTGCCAGTGGACTGAAGAGAGAGCACAGTGCTTTAGCTTCGGGGATGTTCCAGTAGAGTGTTCACTGGCTGTTGGAATGTGGAGCATGACAGTGCTGTTTTCCAGTGGAAGGTATGTTTGGAAGGCACTTATTTGCTGATAAGGGCAGTTTTTCACCTCGCAAGAAAGGTTTGGAAGTTGCAGTTGGTATGAGGGGATTCTTCTCTCAATTTGACTGTTGTTCTGAATATGGTCTCCTTTTACAACATATGCAAATGCAACTTGAAAACATCTTTGTGCTGTATCTATCAAACTATACCTGGCTGCAACTTAATGGTGAAGATTCATGTTCCTGTTTGTACTATGAGGTAGGTAAAGGTTAATGCTGTAAAGCCATCTGAAACCTTTCATTATCTGGTAGCCTTTGTAACCTTCCTGACTATTTTCTATAGGATGGATTATAGTTCAAGAACATAATCACATGCTACCCTTCCCTCTAAGTTCAGGATAAGGTTATAATCCTGCTTATGGGTCCATGCTTATAAACAAACATATGAAACAGGTTGTGCTGGAGTGTGTATTAGTGATTGACTATTGTGACAGTGTTCAAGGCTTTAAATAAGATCAGGTACCCTGGAGATTCCTGCTGAATACCTGATCATCTTTTGCATGCTAAAGGCACGGTGGCTGGTAAACACTCACAGTTGTTCTGGTGAGGAGGGTGGTTAGAGAATGTAAGAACAGCACAGAGGGGTCACAGTATGAAACCCTAAGAAATGGAGAAACAACAGAGGAAAAAGTTATTCACAGTGAGAGTGGTTTGACCCTGGAAGAGGTGCCCAAAGAGGTCATGAAATCACTGCCTATGAACATTTTTGAGTGGAAAACCATGTAACTTTGGAAGTCAGTCCTGCTTTGATCAGATGTCTGGATGGGATTACCTTGAGGGCCATTTCCAGTGTTTTGAGGTTCTAAGAAATGGCATATTCAGGCTCTATTCCCCAGCATTAAGTGCACTAAGCCTGAAATGGAAGGACTGGTTCATGAGGTGTTAAACACGTTTGTTTATTCTTTTTAATTGTATAAACCACTCATGCATTATATCCACATTCAGAACAGGTACAGGAACCTCTGCTTTAGCACATGCATAAGTATCTCAGGAGGGGATGTGGTATCTCTTCCTCTCTTCTGGAATGTGTACCTGCCTTGGGAATTGTCTTTAATGGAAACTGAGGGATAAATTTACCAGGCAGTGAATGACACAGTTGAAGTCAGTTGTACTGAAACAGGCATTCAGGAAAAATTCCTCTCTTCAAAGAAGAAAAAACATACTGGAACTGGAGTACTGGGGGGGGGGGAATAGATTCCAGCCTAAGAGGAACTAGCAGAGTGTTGAAAAGATGCTACCCTTGGATCTAACAGGAAAACATTTCCGTAGAGCACTTGAGGATCTTAAAGATATGTTGAAGATGGTTTTAATGAGTGAAACCTGTGAGTACTGTAGGTACAAGCCAAAGAACAGCTAAGTGGTGGAAGAGATTTGTTGAATGAAAGGAACGGTAGCTCTCAGAGACACCAGTTCTTACTTTTATGTTGTTCTGTTTGCTGCTCCACAGTGAAGATTGACAAACCCAGGAGAAACAGTTGGCAAGTGGTGGTGAGCGAAGCTGTATGTGCCACCCACAACACACCTTCCATCCAAAGCTGCCAGTAGAGACCCAACCCTTGCTTTCAAGTGATGACAGACTTCTAATTACTGCACGAAGCTCTGTCTTAGTGCAGTTTTAGTCAGCTTATACTGAAACAGTGCAAAAAGGTGATGCTTGAGAAAACTGGATGTGAGGTTGACATCTGACTCATGCTTCATTTTGCGTATAGGCTTATTTCTGCCCTTCCTGTCAGATTAGACATTACAGTCCAAGCCTCCCTGCAGATGACTCCCATTTCCTTATGAGAAAATGGAAGAAGAAAGGGCAAAAGAGTATCCTGCAGAAGAATCTGTGCATTTGATTTGTCAGGATGATCGCCATAGAAAGGGAAAGGTAGTTATTTCAAAGATGCCTAGATTTTATCAGGGACAGGGGTTTTGCCTTCAAAACTCACCATGAAATTAACTTTGTTAAAATGTGACCATAAAAAGTCTGGTTTGATAGTGGTATTCCTGTCACAACCTCTGTAAGACTCCATATCCTTCTCAGTCTCAATTACTTCAGAGGTTTGTTCATTGGTATTTTGATCAGTGAAAGGTCAATGCCTTCAGCCTGTAATCACTGATTTATTGTCTTACACTCCTGTAAACGATTTCCAATACTTTTTATCATCATCCTTAAGCTCCATGGAATAAAATATCATGGCTTTTTTAGAAGTGATCCATTACCAGTTTTGTTGCCTGGTACTGTCTCATGAATGAGACAAGGGTTTTTTCACTAGTTTCTACTATATGGTGGGAAAACACATAGAAATATTTCACTCCAGCCCAGTACATGCAGTGGAATTTCAGTATGTGCAATACCTAAATTCAAAATCATAACCCAGCGAGGCAAAATAAAAGATCAACTAAATTAGATGTAATTAGGGATGTAAACTATGCATTTCTAAGGAAACGAAAGGCAAAATGTGCATTCAAGGAGTATCAATTCTTAGTTTTCTCCCTTTCATAAAAGGAAGTACGTGAGTGTGTGTGTGGGTATGGGTGTCTATGGATCTGTGTTGAAAGGAGGGTAAGAACAGGGAGTGGAAAGAAAAAGAATAGCAGAAGACTAAAAAGAAGATTAAACCCCCCGGTTTTGCAGTTACTTGTATGGTTTGAATACTTGTACAGTGTAGAATGTAGGGTCCCCAGCAGTATTCTTCTGCCAGAAGACATACATACGTAAGTGGAAGCAGGATGGCTCAGGTCCCGACCAGATGGTCTGTTTCAGTGCAGTTCTAGTGGGGTTATGTATGATAACCACTGCCTGCTTTGGGATTTATAGGAAAAGTATGGTTGTAAGATGCCAATTGTTCAGCCACAGGGTGAATCCAGTTTTCCTTTGTAACACAAGAATGACAGCATGACCGGCTACCGCAGGACACAATGCTGACTTAGGAATACCAACTGAAATCTATATTTTGTATACTTTCATAACGATGTGGTTTTGCAATCAGTTATTATTAGTACAGTTATTGTCTTGGGATGCTGACAGCTAATGCTTTTATGAAGAGTTAATAACTGCTTTTCATCACTGTGGACAGGTTATAGAAATGTTCTCAAGATCTCTCACTTTGAGGTCGATGCAGAAACCAAGGAACAAGTTCTACTTACTGCATTTCTTGTTGATTCCACTCAGATTTTCCAGTTACTAATTGGACATGAAAATAGCACGGTCCTTTGTCCTCCAACTGCTACAGAGTCCTGAGGTAAGAAACTTATTTAAAACAGAAAAATCATTTTTTCCTCCCATTGAGGAAAGATCAGCACTTGGTTGAGTAACTCTCTTGTATCCTTAAAGATAGGTGGTAAAAATCTCATTTAAATAGCCATTATAAAAGTTGGGGCTCTGCTTGGGGATTAGGAGGCTGAAATTCATGCCTCAGTTATGCTTGTTCAGCTTCTCCCACTTCCCAGTCTAGTGTTCTGATCAGTGGGTTGTTGATTATTGATACATGGGTGGTTAGGGTGGGTTCAGAACAAAGTCTTGTTTTTAATTCCACATTAGACCAATAAATTATGAAATCTTGGTGGGTTTTTTTATGGAATAAAAGCCTTAGTTTTTTTCCACCATTACCTTACATATCATATAATGTGGAATTAGTCTTTTGGTAATTAAGCTTCCTTAGGATATATGGCTTGTGCTGTTCTTCGGGTTTCCCTTGATTCATCTGGGATATTACACCCAGAAGAGGAAGACCAGAGATAAACATTAGCTGTTTTCTTTGTTTTTAGTTGTCTCTGGCTACTCAGTGCATTTTATACATCCTGAAACCCATTGTCTACTAACAAAAGAACTCCTTGGAAAAAGCCAACCCCATTTACCTCCTTACATGGCCTCTTCATCCTCTGTGGCATGAGAGAAGGCTTTGATGCTGCAAAGTTTTGGAAGTGCAAAGTACTGGAAAGTTCCTAAGCAAAGAGAATTCAGTCATACTCAGACCAGAACTATCTTCTCTCTCCACTTAATTTTCTGCTTGTTCCATTTGCTTTCTGTGCATTTCCATCATTTGTGTCTGCCTGATAAGCCATATAACAGGCAGCTCATGCAGGATGGTGATGGGCTGAGGCAGGTAATACCATTCTACTTCTCAATTCACAGACTGAAGAAAAACAGCTCAATTTTGTAAGAACATTTGCTCCCTGTCCTTTGTGTGTGCAAGTTCTCCCTCTGGGTTGAGAGGAGAGTAGAGTTTTTTAAGAGAGTGATTTATTATCCCTCTTCATTCCTTTCAGTTCATAAGGTTTATAAGGCCATTTAGCTTTCCAGTGCTTCTGCTTTGCTTTTCCTCTCCCTGCAGAAGAGTATAATTTTGCCTTATCAATGAATATCAGTCCAGACCTCAAAGGAATGCAATTTCCTGGGCTCAGGAAGGAATCCAGAGGTTAGTCTTATAAATTCTATGTATGCTCTGTAGCTGTTCCAGCTCTTAGCCAAGTTTGGCAATAGGGTCATTTCATCTAGCACTCGTAGTAAACCACATTTCTTTTATGACCTCCTAGCCAGCTGTTCAGGCTAAATCATTGTGTGTACAGTCATGACTTGACTAATGCCTGTGCATGTCTCAACTGCTTTCCTGTTATTCTGTCTGTGGAATAGTGCAAAATTCTCCTTATGAGGTGGTGTTCCTGGAAGACAGAGCCTTCTGCTACACATAAAGAATAGGCAGTGATTTTTCTGTGGGTCACAGCTTGTGCAGATCACACAGTCAAGGAGATCTTAGCTGGATATTGACTTAGTATAAGAAACGGAGTTATTGGAACAGATGAGTCTCTGTGGCCTGTAAGGATGGTTCCTCCTTGCTGTGGTCCCCAGTTTTTTAATGTGAGGTTCCATGTGGAGACAATCAGAGATGCTTTTATCTCTGTGAGATTTTTCTTCATGTGTTTTTAGGTTTTCATTAAAAAAGTGTAAAAGCTGAAAGCATATTTAAGCTGTGAAAGTGATAGGATCAGGTCATGGGCCTCCAAAGAGCAAAAAGAAAAGCAAAGCTCTGCTTTCTCAAAAGCCGTGTATCATCTAAAAAATGTCTCGCTGAAGCAAGAGGTACTTTGATGAGCTCAGATCTCATGACATTGTTTGCTTGGCTGGCAATTCTGTGACACCCTCAGCTCTGTCTTCCTGCAGGCACAGCAGAAATAGCAGGCACAGCATGTACCTACCTCTACTTTTAGGGAAGAGGAGCAAACTACAAAAGTCTTCTGCTGTTGGCACCAGGGCAGCTAAGGGCCTGAGCTTCTTCTGTTCATCCCTCCTTTGTCCCGGTTCCTTTCTTTTATTCTCCTCCTACGTTAGCCTGTTTCACGCTGATAGGTTCTCTGAATTCTGCTTTTCTGTTTTTCATCACATATCTCATAACAAGAATGAAAACTTTGAGATGTCATTGTTGGCAAAGTTTGTAAAATGAGTTCTGCACCTCTTAGAATACAAATAATCACCTCATTGTGATGAAGTAGGTCTTAGGCTTTAGTTCAGTTAGCAGGCTCTCAAATTACAATATACTGCAGTTAACATTGGTATAGACCTATGTCTTTGTGAGTCCACTTGCTGTCTGGACTGCTGCTGCAACCTGAATCCAATCTGGGAGCAGAGTGTATTGGAGAAGACACATCCAGGTATATTACTGCAATAGAGAGGAGGTAATACATGAGAAAGATTTAAAGAAGATATTTACTTCAGGGCAGAGGGACTCACTAAGTGCCTAAGATACCACTTAAGCCCTCCTTGTGCAATGAGTAAGAAATGGCAGGCCCGGCACAAATTCTTGTTGCAGAGGTAGATTTATTTCATTTAAAAATAAAGTATCTGCATGTCTGGAGCTGGGCTTTAAGAATATGGAGATGCAAATGCTCTGTAGCAAGGATTCCTGCAGGAAAATAGGATCCTGTCTTACCATTATTGGTAACACATCTATTTCCACATGTAGATTGTGTTTGCGTGACAGGGTATGTCCCCTTGCCATTTATGATGTCCAGTGTATCCTTGGCTTACCACCACACTGCAAAACCCACCAGCAACCCCTGAACTTTAGTCTGGATTCATAGAAGTTTTCTGACAACAGAATACCTTCTGCTCTCATAACTGGGTCTTCTACCCTTTTCAGAGAAAAGGCTGGGTCTCTTTAGCAGTATCTGTCTGCTCTAAAGACTTATTGTTTCATCTGACCCAGTGGAGTTCGGAACACTTTGTCCAGGATTTTTGACCATGAGACTACAATGAGATCAGATGTCAGGCATCCTAAAAGGATTCCAATTGAAATCAGTGGGATTTTACACATCCACAAGTATTAGATTGATGCCAGAGTGATCAGTAACTTACAGAAATGAATGCTGGGGGAGCAGAAATTCCGTTTTCCTCTTTCTGTATTCTAGAATCATGATTCACTGGACAGGTATGATGTCAGTAATGGAGCAGTGGAAGCTCCATTATGGACTGGGGCTAGGATGTTTTGTTGTGCAGAGTTAGGTGTAGTGCTTGTTTGCCATTGAAACTTCACTCTGGTTGTAGTCTGAAGGCTGCTCTGGAGTTTCACTATTACACTGCCTTCAGTTAACCTTTTTTGAAAGAACACTCTTCATCCAAACCCATTGGAAAGACTAAATACTGCCTTGGCTGTGGAAGAAGGTCACTGTAAAAGAGATGGTAATTAAAGATAAGAAGAGAGGCGAAGATCAGTAGAAGCATATTTATACAAACGTATATAGGAGTATATCAGCTCCAGTTATGTGCTGCTGAAAGGAATATTTGTTCCCCAGATAGTCATCTGCTTTTAGTTCCAGCAGACTTGAAATGATATCTGGTTGATGCTGCGTATTTCATTGTATCAGTTGGTGCTTGCTGGTAAGGAAAGGAAAAGAATGAACTCCATTCTTTCACTTGGATACAGCATATTAAAGATAAGCTCTGATGTGAGCTGATTTAATTCTTCCACTGCTTGCTGATATGGTATACACTGGTTTTGCAGAGGAGGTGCAGCAGCTAGTCATGAGAACTGGAATTCACTTCCAGCTCTGAAGAGAGGATCAGAAAGTGGCTCTTCATAGTAAAAAGCATTTACAGGAACAATAGTATATGTGTCCTTTCTGAGCCTCTTCAGAAGCCTCATCTACCCCAGTTGGCTCTCAAACAGTTGGTTTAGACTTTTACAACTGGCCCTTACCCTTAGGCTCTCCAGGAGTCTCTCTAAGGCACATCAGCTGTGCAAAGCTGAAGCATCTCTCCTGCACCGTGCTGTGATGTGTCTGAAGGGTTGCTGCTAACTTACAGCAGTGTCAAGGGCTGACACTGTGCTGTGAGCACCTCCTGACCTGACTATACCAAATGTCTACCCTGACAAATGGCTTTACTGTCAGGAATGTTGGAAAGGCAGAAACTTGAGGCACCTTCCTTGTCCTCTGAAGGAGCAAATGCTGATGTTAACGAGTCTACAGACTCACTGAGGGACTGTTACCACATGGCTTCTCTCTGGGTTTTTCTTGACTTAATCCTGCAAATGGATTAGCTGTCAGTCTGCCCAGAGCTTTGCTCTGCCGCAGCAGCAGTACTTGTTAGTATGATTGTTGAAATACACTGCTATGTCTCACAGAGATGATTCAGCTGCCTGTGTATTTCCTGAATATTGTAAAAGAAAGTACAAAACCCCCACTGCCACAAAGATTTGAGGTTCCATTTATACGATCATTGTAATGCAATTGAGTCCTCAAAAGCAGGGAATAGGTGAACGTTATCTTCAGTTGATAGCTGGGAACATTCATTCTGCTATGCCATGTCCTGAAGAAAATGCAGAATGTTCTGGAAATTTAATCAGAATCTAAATGCAGGATGGTTTAGTTTACTTTGGCATAGAAGCATTAGGGAGAAACTACTTCAGTGATTTGGGTGCATAATGGTGATTGAGGCTTGTAGTGAAGAAGGACTGATGACTTGCCTCCAGTCAGATGTGCTGAGGGAACATTTTACCCATGGATGCCTTCTGTGGGCCGTTCCAAATGTGTATCTGAGTTCAAAGCAGCTGCCTTGTTAGCTTACAGCTCTCAAGCCGACATGTAGCTGGTACGTCCCTGTTGCTTCCTTGCCTATGCATTTCAGATCATCAGCATTTCAAGGTTTCATTCTGTCTTCATTATACAGTTGAGGTGTAAGGAAGGAAGAGGGTATTACCAGCAGAGGGGCTTCCAGCTTGCTTTTCAATGTGATTGCAGCCATAGT